TCGTCACCTTCCGGGCAAAGTATCACAAGCGCCATGCGACGTTTCAAAATTTCCGCCGCCATTTTATTTCTTTACAGAGAAATTTTTGGTTGAATTTGTTTGAAAATTTCACTGAATTTTATTGGCAGCACAAAGAAAATTCAGTGAAATTTTTGGACAGCTTCGTTGAACAATTTCTCTGTAAAAAAATAAAATGGCGGCGGAAATTTTTAAACGTCGCATGGCGCTTGTGATACTTTGCCCGGAAGGTGACGGTATATCGCCTATGAACAAGAGGACGACCAGGGGACCTGAGTTTGATGCCTCAGGGAATGGTCACGTGGGGCTAGGGTAATAATCGTGGGATTAGCCTCATGGGCTATTTGAAAACTGGCAAAAAAAAATAGTACCTCTATGTGGAGAGACCGGACTTGTCGAAGGATTGATCTAATAGGGTCTAAAAGGGTATCCAACCTCCTACACTGAAAAAAAAACTCCGGCCGTGGGAGCCGCAATTACGGGCTATATAGACATACCATCCGTTCCGGGCTCAAACTCCGAAATTCCGGCTGCTGGAGCCGTAGCTTCGGCCTCTGAACCCGGACCAATCGAAGCTACGCCTCCAGCAGCCGGAATTTTCGGCCTTTGAGCCCGGAACGGACGGCATGTCTATATAGCCCGTAATTGCGGCTCCCACGGCCGGAGTTTTTTTTCAGTGTACCACGAAAAAGAACTATTGAAATGCCGTCGCCAATTCTCAGATTCAATCAAACCCAGGTAGCCAAAATGTTAATAAATGAGCAGCCTTCTGCAAAAATGAGTTAAGTTATGCAAAAACTACAAGAAAAATGCGTGTTTAACACACAACGGGTCGTAACCAATTGTACTATTGTATAATTTCGGATAATTTGATTTTATAGGTTGGCCAGGGTTGCCACAACCAAGGAATACCGGGGAAACCGGGAAATGTCAGGGAATTCTAAGGGAAAACCGGGAAATGTAAGAAAAAATGACGAAAATGTCAAGGAAACATCGTCAAGTCACCTTTATTTGCTTTTTCGAATGGGTTTGACATTTCGAACAACAAATTTTGCCTGAAAACTACGTCTAACTCCTTCCGAAAAAAAAATTCAACTTAATCGGCATTTTTTCTTAACTGTCTCGACTTAGCGAGATTTTATTGCATGTATTTTTAACAATCAAGCATTTATTCAATTGTATGGGAATTTCACTATAATGTGTCAGGGGAATCAGGGAAATGTCACGGAAGTAAATTTTCCAAATTCTGTGGTAACCCTAGTTGGCTGCCTTTTTGGATCCTGAAAGCTCGATGCTGTACACTGAAAAAATAGTCCTGTTCACAGGGCTCCTGCACTTCTTTTGTAGCGGTCACAGAAGCTTCCGTTATGAGGACAGAGTACTCTGTTTCCACGACCTAAGTCCCGCTCTCACAACAGAAAAATTCAGAAAAAAAGAAACTACAGGAGCCCTGTGAACAAAAGGTTCTGTCATCAGCACACGGAGAAAAAAACCTCGTGCGTGGGACCCGAATTTTAGATCATATGGATCTCTGAAGTTTTCGGATTGAGCATCTGAACACTTTAGGTCTAGCTGTCGAGGTTCGGATCACACATCTGAAACTCCAGTTCTTACATCTGAAGTACTTCAGATGTGAGAACCGAAGTTGTTCGGATGTGAGAACCGAAGTTGTTCGGATGTGAAAACCGAAGTACTTCAGATGTAAGAACTGAAGTTTCAGACGTGTGATCCAAACCTCAGCAGCTGAGCCCAAAGTGTTCAGATGCTCAATCCGAAAACTTCAGAGATCCATATGACCTAAACCTCGGGTCCCACGCACGAAGTTTTTTTCTCCGTGCACCATCTATTTATTTCTGTGTAACTTTCAAATTACCGGCATGTCCGTATCTTTCCCACAGAGGTATTTTAGATCTCAGTCTTAGTTTAAAGTTTTTGTTTCCTCTTCTTTGTTGTTCCCTTCTTGACACTATTTTATGTTCTGCACGGAGAAAAAAACTTCGTGCGTGGGACCCGAAGTTTAGGTCATATGGATCTCTGAAGTTTTCGGATTGAGCATCTGAACACTTTCGGTCCAGCTGCTGAGGTTTAGATCACACATCTGAAACTTCAGTTCCTACATCTAAAGTACTTCGGTTTTCACATCCGAAAAATTTCGGCTCTCACATCTGAAGTACTTCAGATGTAAGAACTGGAGTTTCAGATGTGTGATCCGAACCTCGACAGCTAGACCTAAAGTGTCCAGATGCTCAATCCGAAAACTTCAGAGATCCATGTGACCTAAACTTCGGGTCCCACGCACGAGGCTTTTTTCTCCGTGTGATACGGTTTATAAATGAAGTATCATTATTCTGTGCAGGTACGTTGTTTACTCGGCGCTAGGCTCGTTCTACATCCCGATGCTGGTGATGCTGTTCTTCTACTGGCGGATCTACCGGGCGGCGGTCCACACGACGACGGCCATCAACCAGGGGTTCCGGACGACGAAGGGGACGCGGGCCTTCGGGAACCGGTTCGACGAGCAGCGACTCACCCTCCGGATCCACCGGGGCCGGAGCTCGGTCATCCACCACGGGACGGGCGGAGGGACCGGTTCCAACAGCACCACCACCACCAACTCGGCCGCCAACTCCGTGGCCAATTCCCCGGGGAAGAACCACGACCGGTTCGCCAAGAACCGCAGATCCGAACGGGGACACGAGAAGGTTAAGATCTCCGTCAGGTGTGTAGCGCATTTTTTCGAATCTTTCAGCACTGAAAAAAAATTCTCGGCGTTTTTACCAAGGTCCGTTGGTACCTTTACCATCTCACTTTTTTTTATCAATTATTGGTAATTTTACCAAGACAGACTGGTAAGCTTACCTAAGAATCGGTATTTTTACTATTTTTTTCAGGTAAGAATACCACTTTTATTGGTAATCAATTCCCGGTAACTTTGCCGTTTTATCTCGGTAATTATACCACAGTCGATAAAAAATATTGGCGTTTTTACCAAGGTCCAGTAAAATTACCGAGAAAGTTCAATAATTTTACCGAGATTTCTCGGTAAAATTGGAAACGTTGACAAGGAAATGGACTCTTGATTCAATCAGATATAAGCTTAAATCAAAAGGAAATCCGCTCAAATTAAGAGGCTTGGTTCTTGATTTAAGCTTAAATCTGATTGAATCAAGAGTACTTATTCTTGTCGATGTTTTTAAGAGTCTGGACTCTAGATCCAATATGTTTTTTTTTTTTCCTCCGGTGCACCCCCATCTTTTCCACCTTTCTCTAGTTCCGTTTGATAGAGATACGTCCAATTGTAAGACAATTTTTCTTTTTGTTGCAGCTATCCAAGCAGCGAGAAAATCAACCAACTCAACAACGGGGGCTCGCCGTCCATCTCCCCGAAGTCGGGCTCGTTCTCCTCGACATCGCCGACGGCCTCGCCCCTCTACGCCGTCCACTACTCGACGGAGACCAACTCGACGTCGCTGAAGAACCCGGCGACCTCCCCGACGGCCACCCCCCGCGACTGCCACCTCCGGGTGACGGGGGCAAGGCTGGCCTCGCACCGGCGTTCCTGCCGGCGGCGGAGCAGCGGGAGCGAGTGCGGGACGGCCCCCTCCTCGCCCACCCGCCCGCGGCTCCTCGGCGACCCGCTCAGCGTCACCCTCGCCAAGGACCTCTCGCCCTCGCCCACCGGCGAGGACCAGGCCCACAGGCCCAGGCTCATCTCCAAGATGGGCAAGAGGAATATCAAAGCGCAGGTGAGCACCGTCTTAAGCTCTTAAATTGGACGTATTCATGCTAAAAGGAGATATGTGCAAGTGGAAAGATGGGGTGTGCTCGTTAGTTGGGTCATAAGAAACAATGTAAAAGTGGATAGAGTTCCTTTTGAGAAAATTGAAAAGCGGGATTTGACATTAAATCAAAAGGAGCTAAGCGCCAAAATATGCTAACTCATGAGCCGCGGGCATGGCAAGAGAGCGTTGTGGACAGGGCTCATGAGTTAAAGACGCTGGACGGCGATCCCGATCCCGAAACCGTCACCGCACTCACCGCTGACGTCACTGGCGCTTTATATTCCCCATTCATTCTTATGGCCCGACCACTAACGAGCACACCCCATCTTTCCACTTCCACATATCTCCTTTTCGCATAAATACGTCCAAATGTAATCTGCACGGAGAGAAATTGCAACACAAAAGTTCGCTTGTTACGGGAAGTGAAACACAAAATGGACCGCGTCTAGCAGGAAGGAACCAAGCCATATCAGCTATTGTCAAATTTAACTGAGCAATTTGATTTTTTGACATGGAAACGGCTGTGCTGATTTTTGTGCAAATTTCTGTGAATTATCTGCACAGTACGAAGCAAATTCCTAAAAATTCTCAGAGGAATCCGCGCAAACGTTCTCTTGTAAAACATTTAACTGCCGAGATCAATTTGGCAATAGCTGATTTGGCTTGGTTCCCTTCTGCTATAAACGCGGTCCAAATAACCCTAGCCTTTAATCTGAGTGACACCTCATGGGCAGCTTAGAGCAGAGCATTGGGAATTTACGTCTCATCGCGCCTTTAATTTTGCAGCTGCAATACAGACATCCATCAAGCACGAATATTTGTAGGTATCTCTGCAGTTTGAAGGCTTTTCTGCCTGTTCAGCTTGACTTTGGTTGATGGATAAACAAGCAGGAAAGCTCTCAAATCGCAGAGATACAACTATTCATGCTTGATGGATGTCCGTATTGCATCTGAAAAATTGAAGGCGCGATGACTTGAGACGTCCATTCGCTGTGCTCTGCTCTAAGCTGCCATTATAAGGTCACTCAAGTTCATTCTGAGCTCGAAAAAATCGATTTTTTTTAGAAATCGATTTGAAAACACTTAAAAATCTAAGTTCGTCTCCAAAAATATAATTGCTACTAAAACTGAGCTTGAAATGAAACTCGGATTTCACAGAGCCTAAGTCCTAAGTGACACATTTCAATTGTTTCCAATAATTCGATTTCGGCTCGAAAAATCAATTCAAATTTTTAATCGACCTCAAAAAATCGATCTGATTCAATCGATTTTTCGGCGCAATAGTTTGATTAAAAATCGCCGCCCCCACCCAAAAGTAACCTAAAGTAAGCATTAAGCGTAGAGAAAAAAAGGAGTTGTTTGCATTTCGGGCATCTTGGATTTTTTTAATGACGTATAGGTCGGTGCGAACGACTTTTACCATCGATTTTCGTGGAAATAGTGAAACTCTATGGGGAAAAAGTCATTATATATGAAGTGTTTGAAATTATATTGTATCATGAGTTGATTTAAGCCAAAAAAAAAATCGGATGTTACGGTCCGTTTTTTCATGCTTCGAATTCCAGATTTTGCTGACCATGCTTTACCGACCTACGTCACGAGGTAAACAATCCTCATGATGCAAACACCCCCTTTTTTCTCTCTATGAGCATGAAGACGAGAATAGAGTACCTTTATAGACAGAGTGCGGCCATTCGTATCTTTTTACTACAGGAAAACTGTTCCGCTTTTTGATTGGTCAGCGAGTTTTTAGGCTTCATGATGCTCTTAGGGCCGTATATAAACAAACAAGATGGCGGCTCACGGCAACATCGATAAGAAGCTAAATTTGACAAAAATCTCAATTATGCGGCAGTAACAATTTAAACTAGCATATCTACGAATAACACACGAAAAACAAATGAAAACATTATTGAATCGCCTTTCACCTTTATCACAGGAGGATGTAAGATGTGCATAACCTCAATCTTCCTTGCTGATAACAGCCATCTTGTTTGTTTATTTACGGCCCTAAGAGCATCGTGTCAGCCTATTTGCTCGCGACAAATGAAAAACCGGAACAGAAATGGCCATACTCTGTCTATAAAGGTACTCTAGACGAGAATGTTGATCTGTGCAGGTGAAGAGGTTCCGGATGGAGACGAAAGCGGCCAAGACGCTGGGGATCATCGTGGGCGGGTTCATCTTCTGCTGGCTCCCGTTCTTCACGCTGTACCTGATCCGGGCCTTCTGCCCGACCTGCATCCAGCCGGGCGTCTTCTCCGTCATGTTCTGGCTCGGCTACTGCAACTCGGCCATCAACCCGTGCATCTACGCCCTCTTCTCCAAGGACTTCCGCTTCGCCTTCAAGCGCATCATCTGCCGCTGCTTCTGCAACCGCCGCCGCCCGGCCAACAGCTCCCCCTACGTCCGCCGCGGCTCCGACGGCTCCCAGCTCGGCCTCAAGCGCGACAAGGCCCGCTCGCCGAGCTATAATGATTACGGTGCCTCTGCGCATCTGAACCCACCGTCGGACAGCGAGCAGAACAACGAGGCCGGCTCGGATTCCCGGTGACATTCGGCCGAGCCTGAGTTCGAGCCGCTCGCCGACGCCGCCTTCCACTCCGTCAGCAATATCATCATGATGATGCCCAAGTTTCGCGGGCAGGTCTCCGGGGTGAGGCTTTGAACTCGCGATAAAGGACACTGAAAAAAACTCCATGATACGGGTTTTATAGGGTTGCCACAGTCAGGGAAAACTGGGAAATGTCAGGGAATTTTAAAAAGTCAGAGAACACAGAAATGCTAGAGAAAATGTCACGAAAATGTTATGGAGAATGACGAAAATGTCAGGGGAAAATCGTTAAGTCACTTAAGGCTTTGAACTTGCGCTAAAGGACGCTGGAAAAACTCCGGCAGTGGAAGCCGTGCTTACGGGTTCTATAGGGTTGCCACAGTCAGGGAATACCGGGAAAACTGGGAAATGTCAGGAAATCCTAAAAAGTCAGGGGGAAGGAAAACCTGGAAATTTCAGGGAAAATGACGAAAAGGTCATAGAAAACGACGGGAATGTCATGAAAAATGACGAAAATGTCCGGGAAAAATCGTTAAGTCACCTCTAGTCGCTCTCACGAATGGGTTTCGTGTTTAATTACAAATTTTGCATGGAACTACTGCTAATTTTAGGAAGTCTGGGAAAACCTGGAAATTTCAGGGAAAATGACGAAAATGTCCGGGAAAAATCGTTAAGTCAGCCCTGGTTGCTCTCTCGAATGGGTTTAATGTTTCGAACAGGAAATTTTGCGTGGAAACTATTTCAAACTATGTCTTCTTAACAACCTGGCATTTGCTCAACTGTCAGGGAATTTCGCCAAAATGTGTCAGGGAAATCAGGGGAAAGTCAGGGAATTTAACTGTGTAATTTCTGTGGCAACTCTGGCCTATATTGACGTACCGTCCGTGTTGCGGGCTCAGAAGTCGAAACCTCCGGGCTTAGCACCCGGAGCAGTCCTAGTTACGGCTCCAATAATAGTGCTGCCGCGTCACCAATGAGAGCATTGCAGCGATTATTTTTTTTTAATAGAGGAAAATAGGAAATTTTAACTTTTTTAATTAAAACTAAAATTCAGAAAAATTAGGAAACATTGAAGGGGAAAAATGACCTAATAATTCATGATTATAACTGAGGATTGGACGTATTTCTGCCGAACGGAACTGTGTGCATTTAGACATGAGCCCTGAGACCCATAAGAATATATGCATAACAGGGCTCACGTTGTAATGCACATAGTTCTGTTTGGCAGAAATGCGTCCGCACCCTAAGATGATTCTCCTGACGATTTGAAGGTGAAAATTCAATTGAATCCAACCATAAGTTGGTTTCAAGTGTTTCAAGTTGTAGGCAGTGATACCGCAGGTTGAGATTTTGATGAGACCTTAAGGATCACCTGATAGTCCAAAATTAGTGTAACATTTGCGAGATTTTTAGAAGCGTTATAAATGTAACGTTAACTATCGGGTAAGACTGAATGGCTCTGATATAATAGCCTTACACGCATGATTCCAACCGAGGCTATAGCACAATTAATAAATTAAAGAATACACTTTTTATTTTGTATTTGTATAAATAGAAAAAACCACCCCGAACGTTATTCAATGTAAATACCACCAAATGGGTACATGTTCTTGCGGAAAATCTATTCTTAACACATTTGATTTCTTTTCTCATTGGAACCTGACTTATGTCCCTTCTCTCTTTTTATATTTTGGCCCTTTTCATTGGAATTTTTCAGACACTCCAGATCAAAATACGAACAAAATTCACTGAAGAATCGGTGAAAAAATATTTCCAATTTTTTTCGAAAATACACGAATCTCTGAAAGGAGATGCGACATTTTTGAAGGTTTGAACGGCATTCGTCGTCAACAAGGCAGTATTTTCGGCAAGCACACGTCAAATATCAAATCGATTCGCACAGCTCTGTCTAGATTCATTAAAAAGAAAATCGGTCCGGTAACTTCACCGAAAAAAAAGTGAAGTTGATTTAACATTCTGAATGTATAACAAAAATTGTGCGAGAACTTATAAAATGCTGCAATACCCACCATAGCAAGTAGTTATACATCTTGGCATTGTTAAAGTAACTGCTGTAGCGGGTAATCAAGCATTTTATAAGTTCTTGCACACTTTTTTTACATCCTAAATGTTAAAGCAACTTCACTTTTTTTCGGTGTTCTGCGATTCCTATCTCCATCGTTCCTCTCGATGAATATCAGTCGAAAGCCGCTTTAGCCACGGGCGTAAGGCTCAAGTCCTCATCTGCCGTGCTAAGGAAGAACGCCGTATGAACCTTCAGGCGTTGCCAAATTTCTCCTGGCAAATCACTAATTTTCAGGGAAATTTTTGAATATTTGCCTAGGTACCAATTTCTCGGATAATTTTGTTTGTAACTCGAGCTAAAACTTCTGAAAATTCAATGGATAAATATTCATAATTTTCCTCAAAAACGAACATTTTATCGAAGGAAATTCGGCAACTCACGAATGCTCATACAGCGTTCTTCCTTAGCACGGCAGTATCGGCATGTCTCAGGGTGGAAGGCCCATACGCGAGTCTAAACTAGGTGTACACTCCGGCAGGCACAGTATAGGCAATTTGCACATCGAATCGTACACGGTGTGTCAAAAGTGTAGTGTTTGAAGTATTTCCACGCTTTTGAAGGCGCTATGAATGGTAACCCGTATTCGCCTGATGATTTCATACTCGGAGCAGATAATGAGTCACTAAACCTTCTTTATTTTATTGAATATTCTGAAAGTACAATGTGAGTAAATAACGTGGTGATTTTTCCGCATTTTTACGGAGCCGAAATCGCGGAGAAACCCGCTTTTGAAAAATCCAAAAACTGCAAGACATTTCAAACGCACTCGAATGGCGGGAAACTGCCGGTGTTGACGCATTGCGGTAGTCATATTGCAATCTTCTCTCATTTTCCTCTGATGTTTCTTAAAATAAAACGTGTTTCAATGTGGAATTGTTGCTCGTTTATTACAGCTAACATATGAATGAGATTCAAGTCTTGAATTCAAAAGATATAATTTCGACTTTAGTATTGTTTTCATACACGAAGAGTAGATAGACATTTGACGGACGTCGTGGAGACCCGTGCCCGCTTCTGATTGGTGCCGAATGACATCATTCGGCGCGGCGCGAAACCGGGGCGTTTTAAATTTGCGTATAAGTTGAGCGTTTTGAACTGCTCATTTCTCGGTTATCGAGTTACTTGTTCGCGTTTTTAATGTGCGCATCGTGTTCTACGCGTCATTTTCTTTCAGAAAACTATATTCGCAAGTCAAAATTCGTCCATGGTTTAGTGACCCATAGAAACAATAAGAAAATATTCCGACATCCCGAGCTGCCCTTTCAAGCCCCCGCGAAAATAAGCTGGGACAGGGACCGCAGGACAAAGTACGAGCCTCTGGCCTCGTAACCCAATGCTGAGAGGGCAGATTGGATTTCATTGCGACCTGAGGGGAGTCTCACATCCGCCCGTGGAACAATGGCCCGCTCGCAAGATTAAAGTCGGGCGTTGAGCAACCCTCCTCGGATCGGCCCATTGATTTCCGCGCTGCAACGCGGATAGTATCGGGCGCCCGTCGCTCGGTGAGCAGAAATGAGCTTTTCCTGGAAAAAATAGGAAAATAATGGGAAAACCTTGTCATTGAGACATCACAATGCTTGGTGAAACATATGCTTAGAATGTTAATCCAGTCAATTTTTTGATTCGGAATGATTCTTTAGGCCCATGCTCAGGGCTATCGTCCTATTTTTGGCTAAAATTTCAAAATCTGCCGACATTATTGACGTAATCGATGCGATATATCGCATGCCAGTTCGACCACGTTAGAAACCTTGACACTACAAGGCAAGTGATTCATCATTCCGAAAGACACCAAATTTCGAGAGCTCCGTGATGGTCTCAGCCCACCAAGCAGCGCATAGTGGACCAAGTTAATCAAAGAGATCGGACATAAAATTTTTGACTAAAACTGCGAATTTGGATGTTTTATTCGTCACATTTTAAATTTCAAGTGGTGCTCCCAGAAAACAATTCCTCGAGTAAATCGATAGAACTAATTTTAGAACCTCAAAGTCTTGTGAAAACGAAGTTATAAGCTTTCAAAGTTTCCAAATTTTGTCCGCCCGCTCCTATGAAGATGTTGCATGTGTGAGGAATTTGCGATTTGACTGTTGATTCTAATGTAAAAGTGCGCGAGAAACACGATAGTGCCACTGGTTTTTTTTTGAAACCAACTCCCAAGCTCAAAAAAAGCTCTCAAGTTGAGGCCAAAATGGAGGGGATATCCCACCCTACCCTGAGGGTCCACCTCTACATCAAGACAAACTCTCCATGCAAAGATAGGGAGCAAATACATTGACAGGGCTGCCACTTTTTTTGGCGACTCTAAAACTGAAAACACGGCAACCCTGCTAATTTATTTGCTACCTATCTTTGCAGGAGAGTTTGTCTTGATGTAGAGGTGGACTCTCAGGATAGCGTGGGATATCCCCTCCATTTTGGCCTCAACTTGAGAGCTTTTTTAAGCTTGGGAGTTGATTTCAGAGAAAACCAGTGGCACCATCGTGTTTCTCGCGAACTTTTACGCAAGAATCAACAGTCAAATCGCTAATTCCTCACACATGCAACATCACCATCCAAAGTGTCCCGTGACCATAACATCTGTGAGACTAAATTGCGAAAGGTGTTGTGTCTCGACTTGCCTCATTCTCAGCAATTCAACGTCTACTGCCGTAAATTGAATGCGCTGTCCTATCTGCCATCACGGCGCGAGGATGCGACCATTCGTGCTCGATGGTTGTCCGTGTTGCATATGAGTGAAGAATTGAAGGCGCTCGACTCGCCTCATTCTTAGGGTGGGATATCCCCTCCATTTTGGCCTCAACTAAAGAGCTTTTTTTGAGCTCGGGAGTTGATTTCAGAGAAAACCAGTGGCTCCATCGTGTTTCCCGCGAACTTTTACACAAGTATCAACAGTCAAATCGCAAATTCCTCACACATGCAACATTTTCATAGGAGCGGGCGGATAAAATTTGAAAACTTTGAAAGCTTATGACTTCGTTTACACAAGACTTTAAGGTTCTAAAAGTAGTTTCATAGATTTACTCGTGAAATTTTCTCAAAATTTAAAATTTGACGAATAAAACATCAAAATTCGCAGTTTTAGTCAAAAATTTCATTGACCCGATCCACTGTGCGGCGTCGCGAATTGCTCGTTCGCGCCCCCCGGATCCGGCGCTGAGCAGCGATAACGGAATATTGTGATTAGTCGTCCGACCGGTTTTAATTGGCTAGAAATGCGATTTTAATCAAAGAAAAACGGGCGCGCCCTTCCGTCGCGGAGCCGAGCTCATTAAAGGGATGCACCCGGCTGTTGTCGCTTTAACACCAACGCCACCGAGCTCAGCGCTAGTGACCTCCTGTGCAACGGATCTTAACTCCGGGTCGTATTTCAAAGTAGTTCTTTTCAGTGGCGTGGTGTGCTTTACTATATATCGATTGATCTGCCACTTAAACCTACACTGGAAAAAAAAGTTTTAAAAATTCAGGGAAAACAAGGAAATGCCAGAGAAAATGTCGCGAAAATGTAATGGAGAATGACGAAAATGTCCGGGGAAAATCGTTGAGTCACTTAAGGCTTTGAACTTGGGCTAAGGTACACTGAAAAAAACTCCACACTGGAAAAAAAACACATTGGATCTAGAATCCAGACTCTTGAAAACATTGGCAAGAAAAAATACTCTTGATTCAATCAGATTTAAGCTTAAATCAAAAGGAAATCCGCTCAAATTAAGAGGCTTGGTTCTTGATTTAAGCAGAAATCCGATTGAATGAAGAGTATTTTTTCTTGAAGATGTTGTAAAGAGTCTGGATTCTAGATCCAATGTGTCTTTCTTTCCAGTGAACCTATGGAAAAACTCGATGAACAGGGTGTTCGCAACGCAGTGCTCCCATTCCATTTCCGCTAAAAGTTCTGGGATTCGGAACTTTTTTGTTCCCGTTTCTCCCACTCTATGGTCGTCAAAAGTTGCGGGACTTTTAAAATTTTTTCAAAAGTTCCGGAAAATGCGAAAGATCCAGAACATTTCGCGAATTTCAAAAGTTCCAGGAAAAATTCAGGAAAATCTCCTAAGGTCCGAAATTTGGACCTAGTTCCG